CCTCTGTCATCCCCTTCTCCTCCTGCCCCCAATCCCTCCCAGCATCAGGGTCTTTTCCAATACAGACAGAAACTAAGATCATTTCCCCTAATCATCAGAATTTTAAGATATGGATATTTGAATTCTTTTTGAAAACATAGGTAATTTCTTCATATTTGTATATTCGTGACCTATAATGCTATGGAATCTTTGATAAAATAATTGATTATTCAGTATTTATATGTTAAAGTGTGCGTTAGCTCAAATTTAATAGAAAATAAAGCATCCATGATACTTACTGTTGAACAGCAGGTATATATGTATCTTTGACTAAGCTCCTTAATATTAGTCATTAGACTTAAATTGGGCTTTCCTGGTGGCTCAGTGGTAGTAAAAAAAAAAATCTGCCTGCCAATGCAGGAGACGTGGGTTTGATCCCTGGGTCAGGAAAATCCCCTGGAGGGGAAATGGCAACCCACTCCAGTATTCTTGCCTGGGAAATCCCATGGACAGAGGAGCCTAGCAGGCTAGAGTCCATGGGGTTGCAAAAGAGTTGGACACAACTAAGTGACTAACACTTTCACTTTCTTACCACCTACTATTATTTTGACCGATTTGAAATATGTTTGTCATGTTTATAAAAATTTGAGATCACATAACAGAACTGTTTATTTTAACCAGATTTGTATAGTATGTTTTAAGCTATCTATATATTATTTTTTTCAGTATTCATGATTCCATAACTAGTAAATATAAATACTAGATAGAACCCAAAATTTCTCTTTTCAAACCCTGTCCTCTTTGCACCCTACCACTGCTGTTTAATTAACAAAGAAGGTTTATGTAGAATTAACATAGATTTCCTTAGGAAGTTTTTCTAATTGCTTTTCCTTTTGATTATTTAAAGTTTATTAGCCAAAGATGTTTTTCTGGAAATGAAATTTACTACTTTAATGTTTTCAGTAAATATTTTTATCAAGGTGATGATTTTTACTATGAAAGTAATTTCTTAACCTTTTTGTATGAAGGTTTACAAAACTTATGTGATTTCCAAAGCAAATCTTGCGTTAACACTTATACTTACAAGCATTCTTTTTGATTGAAGAATGTTAGCTAGTAGATGGAATTATTTTCATCTAGGTTTGAAACCACTTACCCAACTGTAAAAGTAGTTATATTTGTTGACCCACTAATACCATTTCTACATATTCATCCTTATAGAATGATTTTTTTGGTGTGGTTGTGAAGATAGTCTTTGTAACATTATTTGTAGTATGGGAATATTGGAAATAATCTAGATGTTCTCTGAGTTACTTATATTGTGTATATCTATTTGATGGAATTTGATTCAGTCAGCAAAAATGATCACTATGGACACTATTTAGTAAAATGGCAAAAAGAATGTTTACATCCATCAGCAAGCAAAAACAGATCACCAAGTAATAATCATACTCTAATTACAACTATTTGAAACACATATACATTAGTGCAGAAGATTAGATGGGGATAGCAAAAAGGGCCATAACATTGTTAGGATTTTCAAATTTAATCTTCTTTGCTACAAATTCTCCATATGGTAAATTGTGCAACTTCTTATCCTGATTTGAGTTGGATGGTTAAATTTGTTGAAATTTTGTCTGTCAACTGGAATTTGCTAATGCAGTACCACAGCTAAGAAATTTCTTTGAGGGAGCAGCACAGCCTACAGTTTCTCTAGCTTATCCGAGAAGCCAGGCCAAGCTCATATTCATCAGTCAAGAAACAGATCTCATTTTATTGAGAAATGAGATGTATTGATTATTAGAGGAAAATCTGTGTGAAAAGCTCTGGGAGGTTTGTTCTATTCAGGTAAGTCTCCAACAAGCCCAATGTGCGTCTAAAGCTTGGCAGCATTCTCTCGCCCCTCTGGCCTTGTGGATTGCACCAGTACAAGTTTACACAAGAGATTTTCTGTTTCTTCTTTATATAAAGGCAAGAATAATTGGAGAAAAGCTATTTCAGTGTATTTCTTCTGTTCTGTTTCTCTTGTCAGGAGAAACATTCAGCTGGATTAAAAAAAATAAGTGAAACAGTCACTTTAGGACAAGATTCTAAGCTAGTTATCAACTCTGCTTAAGTGTTTTTTAGAATTCTCCCTAAATGAATCCTGCAAGACCGTAAAGAGGACAAAATTGTATTAAGCCAGTTATTAACTTATACAAAACAAACATACTAACTTACTCAAAGCACACATATACATATGTATAAAGCGAATGGACAGGGACCAGAAGAGGTCTTAGAATGACCATCTTTATGCAACCTGATTGTAAGTTCATACCCCTGAAAATAAAAAGAACATTGAGACAGACAGAGAAAGAAAAATAAAAAATCAGCCGAGCATTCAGGTTTTATTTTTGGGGACCGATGCTCAAATTTCTGGCACAAACACTGGCATAATTGCTTTTAGAAAATAGCAAATCTTTGATCTTAGTAGTTATTCCGGCTCCTAAAGATAGACTACCTGTAGATGTTATTTCTTGTCATTGTGGCAGAGAGTAGGAGAAATTGGAAAAGAGTGTTGGGTCAGCTGCCGCCAGATTCTTTGTGAGCATATTCGAGAAAGCAAAAATTACTGAAAAGCTAACAGCAGTAGTGTCCGAACAGCAAGAGTGTCCTGTTGGATGACGCTGAATTGACGTGGGTTTTTTAAACAGAAAAGTAGCCTTTTTGCTTATGCATAAGCATCGCATATCTACATGAAAAGTTTTTATCCATATTTAAGTGTTCTTCTCTGCGTATTTTGAGGAGTCTAATTTAGTAAGTGGGGGTTTGTGGCTTAGAAAGGAGCACGGCTTGATTGCGTGCTCAGGGAGAGTGGAGGACAAGAAGTCTCGATAACAGCTTGACATTTGCTTTTCAAATTATAAACTCCTCGATACCCTTGTTTTCTTCTATTCAAAAAGATAAATGTAGTGATAAAAAAGTAGCATCTTTTGTAACTTTCTAAGTCATCTTTTACTCCTAATATTTCTCAGAGTATCTGGCACAGAGTAACTATTTAATAATTTTTTAAGATTATCTAAATTGAAGTGATGAGTAGAGTTGACTCGGCTATGTAGATGGGATGCATTGCTTTAGCTTGAGGTTTCTAAATGGTACAAGATGTCATTTAAAATGCTCTTTTTTAACATGTAGCACGATACAAATTATCAAGGGCTCTTTAAAAGGAATCATTTTCCTCAATAATGGGTTATGTATATAAAAGGGGGAAACACTTAGAATTGAATGTAATCATTTTATGTACTTTAAATCCAAGAAAATCTTTGTTTTTTAAATCATAGCAGAGTTCGCCTTTTTTTTTTCTTCATGAATTCCAAAATAGAGTGTTCAGGGACTATATCTGCTCAGTTTGTAAAAAGATTTGTGAAAAACAAAAAGGAAACATCCTTAAAGCATGAAGTAATAAGAGCATAAAAATATCAAAAGGGCTTTTTGTGTTTAGGTGGCCCTCTCGTGGTAAAAAGGTCAAACTTTCCTGAATGAAAGTGCGGGCAACTTTTTGATTAGAGCAGGCATCTTGACAAGCTCTAAGTGTTGCTCAGTCGCATCCAAGTCTTTTCGACCCCATGAACTGTAGCCCACCAGACTCCTCTGTCCATGGAATTTTCCAGGCAAGAATACTGGAGTGGGTTGCCACTTCCTACTCCAGGGGATCTCCCCGACCCACGGATTAAACCCACATCTCCTGAATTGGCAGGCAGATTCTTTACCACCGTGCCACTTGGGAAATCCCCAGCAACCTTTAATAGTAAGAGGTCCAAATCCAGCAAATGGGTGAAAAATAATCTATTTTCACCTTTTCTTCAGGGACCCCATCCAAAATTAATAGATCTAAAACAAACAGATAATAAAAAAATAATCCTTTTCCATCTGCTTTACATTACTACCCAGTGAATCTCTAATGATAAAAAATATAGTTCTTAGAAACATTTTTCAAAAAAGCTGTCATTTTACTTTTTACACTTTCACATTTAAATTATTTCTGATTAGCATAAAATTTGCAAAAATAGAACTGAGTTCCTGCATCTCCTTCACCCAGCTTACCTAAATATTGACAGCTTACATAACCATGTCACCGCTTACAAAACCGGAAAATTAGCATTAATATGCTGCTATTAACCAATCTACAGACGTTAATCAAATTTCACCCATTGTCCTACCAATATCCTTCCTCTGACTCCAGGATCCTTCAGTCTATAACGGCATCTCAGTCTGTCTTTGTCTTTCATAACCTTGACATCTTGGGAGAGTACTGGTGAGTCATTTTGTGAAACATCCTCCCATTTTAGTTTGTTTAATGGATCGTCATGATGAAGTTCAGGTTTTGCGTTCTCAGCAATAATACAACAAATGTGACGATGTACCCTTTTTTCAGTGTCATATCAGTAGATATGTGATATCATTATGCCTTTATTACTGGTGATATTAACTTTGTTTGGTTAAGTGGGTGTCTATAGAGTTCTTCACGATAAAGTTACTATCTCCTCCTTAGTAATGAGTTAAGTATGGCCTTCCGTGATGGCTCGGCAGTAAAGAATCCGCCTGCAGTGTAGGAGTTGCGGGTTCAGTCCCTGGGTTGGGAAGATCCCCGGGAGAAGGAAATGGCAACCCACTCTAATACTCTTGTCTGGAGAATGCCATGGGCAGAGGAGCCTGGTGAGCTACAGTCCATGGGGTCACCAAAGAGTCGGACACAACTGAGCTTCTGAACAACAACAATGAATAAGTATATCAACATTATTTAATTTGATGTTTTACCATAGTTAGTATCTTAAGTGCATTTTCTTCCTCATGGACATTTTATTGAAATGGGGCTGTAATTTGTATGCTAGGAATGTTTTCAAGTTATTTTGTGGTTCCTTTGCAGATTACCTTTCCCCCTTTCACCTGTAGCCTTCTGTCACCACTCTTGCACTTGAAATCTTGGCCAAGTTTCTGCTTGTCCATGCTGACTGACCTTCGTGCACTTTATGACCCCACAGGTATGCCGAGAGTACCAGCGAGGCAATTGCAACAGAGGAGAGAATGACTGTCGGTTCGCCCATCCTGCTGACAGCACAATGATTGACACCAACGACAACACGGTCACCGTGTGTATGGATTACATCAAAGGGAGATGCTCTCGGGAAAAGTGCAAGTACTTCCACCCTCCGGCGCATCTGCAAGCCAAGATCAAGGCTGCCCAATACCAGGTCAACCAGGCTGCCGCCGCGCAGGCTGCGGCCACTGCAGCCGCCATGGTGAGTCGAGACCCTGGCTCAGCCCTTCTTAACGGCCACAGAAGCAGTGGGCAGCTCTCTCTGACCGCAGGCTATTCATTTATTAACCTTTAAAAAAAATTTTTTTTTTTTTTGCTGAAGATATGTTTGTTCAGGTATCCCAGACAATACGTAATGAAGTGACCGTTCAGAGAAGTGAGGGTAACTCCTCAAATGGTTCAGATTGCTCCTACCCTTGGCCTAACTTTGAATACTCTGTATTACTCTGGATATAGGGTTTCTGAAATTTCTGCTTTGTACAGAACACCTGTCTCCTTTTCGGTTTAACGATACTGCTGGTTCTGGTCCTCTTATTTCTGTGTGCTATCTAATCAGTCATTGTTTCCCTTTGGTGCGTTCTTCTGCACATCAAGGCTCTTCTCTACATTTATCTTGCTTTAACCATAACAAAATCTGAAACTATTTAGGAGAATTGCTTCAACAAAACTGTTTTTAGAATTCACTACAAGATTTTGAACGGTTTGCTTATCTAGATTATCTTGAACTATATTGTGGCATAAACAGAACTGTAAAACTAGAGAAGCTTGCCTATGCCATTACATAGAAAGGGGAAAGCAATACTCAAGGAAGCGTTAGAAATGGATCATTTAGAACAGATACTAAACTATATAATGAAGGTAAATTTTTATGTGATCTAATAGCTGATTTTAATGAGTCCATTTTTGTTCTTTGCTTAGCTGTTTTAATGTTGTCCTTTTTTTTTTACATAAATATATGACTTAATCGTTAAATTACTCATGAAAAAGAACCCTGTGGTATTTTGTAGCACAGTCAAATAGTCATGGAGAGGTCTTTTCTGTGTTTGTTTATGGATACTTGAGCAAAAATACAGAAGGCAGACTCTCTCCTCTTCTCTTCCTTCCACTCTTTTCTTTTTTTTTTTTTTCTGTTAGAGTATCTTGTTTGTAATTAACTACAAAGAGGAGTTATCCTCCCAATAACAACTCAGTAGTGCCTTTATTGTGCATGCTTAGTCTTGTTATTCGTTGTATATGGCATTCCGATGATTTGTTTTTTTATTTGTTTTTTCTCACCTACCCAAAAATGCACTGCTGCCCCCATGATGCACCTCTGCTTGCTGTTTATGTTAATGCGCTTGAACCCCACTGGCCCATTGCCATCATGTGCTCGCTGCCTGCTAATTAAGACTCAGTCGGCTGTCAAATCACTGAAGCGACCCCTCGAGGCAACCTTTGACCTGGTACTATGACCTTTCACCTTTTAGCTTGGCATGTAGCTTTATTGTAGATACAAGTTTTTTTTTTTTAATCAGTTAAAAAATATATATTCTTTTTTCTGTTATAAAGTTGTAAAGTGCAATGAAAACTGAGTGTGGTTTCCTGACAAAATTAGTGGAAAGACTATAAACAAGTCCCTGGACAGATGTGGTGCAATGAAAGATTCCAAAAACCCAGCAGCCCACATTCAGTTTAACTACATTGTAGAATGTTCTAATGAAGTATTTGAAGGACATTAAAAATGTATTTTTGGACTGTATATTTATGTACCTGTTTGGTTAGCATGGCTTTAGTGATAGAATTATTGACTTTTTAATATTTATAGTTCAGTGTTTCAAGAAAAAAAAAAAAACTTGCATGCTCTGGGACATGTGCATGTTTAGGTAGATGTGGGGAGGCGGGCAGAGTGGGACTGGGTTTTATTTTACCAGTTTCGGTCACTTCGTACAATTAACTATTAACATTGCTTATACTTGTCAATCCTCATGGAGCTCGCAGTGCAGCTTTTCTTCTTTTCCCAAATTGATGGCTTCTCCCAGAAAGCCTGAAGCATTATGGGACTTAAAACACTTTAACACATTATAACATGTGCTCTCATACTAGTGGGTTTTTTTTTTTTTCCCCTCCAAGACAAAAATAATGCTTCCTTTAAAGCTTTTATCTTGCTTTTTTTTCCCTTTGAATTTTTGTTTATTGGATGTTTTTTCCCCGGGTAGTTAAGTGCTCTGCTGCTTACGTGCTCATGCTGCCTAACAATTTTAGCCTCCAACTGATTTTTCTTTTCTCTTTTTCTCTTTTTACTGGTATTTGTTTTTTATACTCACTCACTAAACAGGGAATTCCTCAAGCTGTACTTCCCCCATTACCAAAGAGGCCTGCTCTTGAAAAAACCAACGGTGCCACAGCAGTCTTTAACACTGGTATTTTCCAATACCAACAGGCTTTAGCCAACATGCAGTTACAGCAGCATACAGCGTTTCTCCCACCAGGTAAGGCGTTTGAGCTTGTCAATAAATAAATCTGACAAATGCATGTAGATTTCTGTTGGTAGAGCAGAGAAGCCACGCCCCTAGTTTTTAGCCATAGAGCAGGTGGAAGGTAAGATGAAAAGTTGTCTCAGGCCTCTCCTATGATTTTCCTTAAAAACTTAAGAGCTTTAGCTTGATGGAAAATGGATGAGAAGTCAGTGATATTTTGTATATTTATTTGTATTTGTGTAATTTGAAATGAAATAGAGTTCTCTCTTTTTTTTTTCTCTTTCCTCAACACCGTTACATGTCTGTCAAGCTATTTTATGACCCTTCCTTGCTGTAAGACCCCTTTGCCTTCATGATTCCAGAGCTCATTTGAATTATATGAAATGACGCTTCAGTTTTGGTTTTTATTTTTCAGCCTTTTTGTTTTCAAGGTGGAGAATAAAAAACTGACTCTGTTCCAATCTTATTGGTACCAATCAGTATACATCACTTTAAGTTGTTGCTCCTGAGCTAATATTGAAGTAGCCCTAAGCACCCAGTGAAGTTTACATTTATAAGTGAGTTATACATTTGTGGTTTCAGTTGATTTCAACTTAGTAACATAAACATACTCTAGAACTATACACAAAGATTTACAATTTAAAAACATAAACTAATCAGTCACTTAATTACCTGGAAGTTTATTATTTTTACTTACTCTTCATTTGCTTCAGAAAATACAAATTACATTCCTTATAATCTAGACTTCAAGTAACCAGAGACTCTAAATCTTATTTTCCTCTTCATCTCTTAGTCTTTCTTAAAAATTGCCATGTGTTAAGAGATTCAGTTAACAAAATAATTTTTAATTAATTTGATAAATTTATGATTAGATGTGTATGTCAAAGATCTAGACCCATTAGTATATTATACTATGCTAACAGTATTTACAATGCATTAGGTTCAAAATACCATGAGGAAATGTGATAATTTTTCAATAGTGAGAATAAATTATATTCTCATTAGTTTTTACTGCCAAGTACAACTTTTTATACAGTGCCTCTTTGAAAACTAGCCATCCATGTGTAGAATATATAGTAACGTTCAATGAACTAGAATAGAATATTCCACTAATTGAAATAGCCTGCCTTAGCACTACAGATTAAGTTATATTTGTACTCATGAAATAGTATCTATCAAGTTGCAGTTTGTCCGTTTTGGAATAGAAATGAAATCATTTGATCTTTGGGTATTTGTTGTACTCTGAAGGAAAAGTCACATTTCTTTTAAGTTTTATAAAATTAAAATTTTTTCTCAACATATGTATGTTTTCAGAGATTTCCAGAAATAAATTTTTTTTGCTTTAGTATAAATTTCCATCCCCCCGGATTTATGCTGTCTCCAACAAATAATCTATCAATTTTTCTATAGTCAGATCACTAGACAAAGTTTCAAGGAATTGTAGGTGACTACTGTGATCTTTTTGAAGAAATTAAAAGCTATTTTTGTCAGTTTATTTCACTGAATGAAACATTGCAACTAGAAATGACAGTTTCTTTATTTGAAAACCTAAAAGTGAAAACAAATTTAACTTCTTGCATATATTACTTAAAGAAACCTAAAATAATCTCTTTTTATCAAGTGGATTTTGCATCAATTTCTCCAACACCATTCACATGACTGAAGACTTTTCTAAATAAGTATAATCATTAATTGCATGACATGTATGACTCTGATTTATGACCATAGCCTCTCTATGGAATGGGTTTTAGTCTGTGGATAGGATAGAGCAAAAGATGCTAGGTAAAATTCAAGTCAGGGAAAACCAATAAATACCTTCATAAATCAGAGTCATACTTACCTCTCTGTCTAGAAATTAAGCATTGTTAATTTAAGTAAAGTGTGCCACAATATATTGAAATATGCTGAAATTTTAAAGATTTGTTTGCATTTTTATGATAAATTTGCATCAGAAATTTTAATTTTTCTTTATATTTGTAGTCAATATGTAATTATTGCAATAGTAATATCAAACAAGGTTTATTTGTAACCCGGTTTTAAAGAGCTTGTAGGTTAACTTTTAGTCATCACATAGAAGTTAGGTAGTGCCTCCTTCATTCCTTTAGAGTATTTTTAATCTCATATGTACCTATGTGCCACAGTGACATTAAAAAGTTATAATGGATAGCCCATCTATACTCCTGCCAAACCACTTTATCATACAGCTGGGAAGGAAAGAAATCTCCCTTCCAAGTACTAACCAGGCCCGACCCTGCTTAGCTTCTGAGATCAGACGAGATCGGGCACATTCAGGGTGGTATTGCCGTATACTGAAGGCAAGCAATCTAATGTAGAAAATATAAAAACCCAAATGCCTTAAAAGCCAGGCAGGAAATAGGAACAAGTGAAGCAAGAGGTCAAGTTGAAGCTATGGGATCCGGGAGATTCAGGAGAGCTTGGGCCCAGTCTAAAGGGGACAGTGTTCAGACTAGCCTTTTGTTGCCTTAGGAGACCATCTGCCTGGCAGGTTGGACCTGTTGTGTGCTGGACACCCTCGGTGGCTCCATATATGTTGTAGTCTGTGACTGTGGGGTGGTTGCGTCTCTGCCTCTCAGGGTTGGTTGTACACAACTCAGTGTGATGGCTCTGGTGTCCCGTATTGCTAGATCTTATGATTTATTTCCCAGATATTCTGGACTTTTGAACAGTTATATGTGAAATCTGTCCATTTTTAAATATTGTCAACAAATTTCTGAGAACTACAGAAAATCTATCCTACCATAAATTCGTGTGTCATCTCACGTGATATGGGGGGAAAGGAAATTCATTTTCCAAAGTCTAGGGTATTCTGCAGACCTATAGATGAATTCTGTGATCAGAGCACCCTATCTAACCACAATATTATAATTTGGAAGTTATATCTGAAGACTTTATTGGAACTGATTAGAGAAAGGAAGCCATTTATTTTTTGCAGTTTAGAGTTTTAGAATTCTGTAGTCTGTTGCTTCAATAATAACATCAGGGATATATAGGTCTATTTCATTGACATTACAATGAAGCATCGTTGACTGAATCTTTGGAGCAGGTAACTCTGTATACAGAACAGGTTGCTAGCAAAAGATCAGGATTCCATGGCAAGCCACCTAACTATACCATAACTTTTAAGAACAAACTTGGACTTATGTGGCCTTTACCCATCTATCCATCAATCCATCCATGCATCCATCCATGTTTGCATTCATCCGTCCATTTATCCATCCATCCTTCTAACCATCTATCTATTCTTCTGTTCCTACCTTCTTCTCTTCCTCTTTTTCTTCTTTCCTTCCCTGTTTTCCACCCACCTATCCTTCTTCCTGGGCTTCCCAGGTGCTTGCCAATGCAGGAGACAAAAGAGATGTGGGTTCGATCCCTGGGTCAGGAAGATTCCCCTGGAGGAGGCCATGGCAACTCACTCCAGTATTCTTGCCTGGAGAATCTCATGGACAGAGGAGCCTGGCGGGCTACAGTCCACAGGGTCACAATGAGTCTGACATGACTGAAACAGCTTAGCACAGCACACAGAATGTCCTTCTAACTCACTCGTTCATCCCACTGCATCCCACTGCATCTCCCATCCGACTCCCACCCCTCCCAAGAAAGTTTTCTAGCCTTTTGCTTTTATACCCTCCATCCCATTTAAAGATAGATATAAGTAATTTGGATCATGTTCACACTGAAGAAATTTTTATTTTTTTAAATATATAGTTCATTTTTTTTGTTTTACCTTCACCCGTTAAGACTAAATTTACTATTCATACAGAGTGTACGTAATCTAATGTCTGCTTACGTTGTAGCTATAAATTTCACAAAATAACACTCTTATTTACATCAGTTTTGTTTTTCTGAATTTATATTAAGCCCAGTTCTAAATTTCAGTTTCAGTATTGGATAGCTATATCAGGCACCACTGAAATTGCGGGATTCCCATTCTCACATCTCCTCTTCTTTCCCACACCTACTCGAATGGTGATCCTGTGCCGTCCAGTGGTCTCAGACAGGTTCCCCAGTCTCCATTCTTCAGTCAGCGCTGGTCATCGCTGATGTAATCATGGTCCATGCTTAGAGGACCCCTTGAAGGCAGGTGTTCCCGGGCTTCTGCGCCTGCCTTGGGTACCAGCATCCTTGCCTAAGCACCTTCGCCTCCCATGCAGCCCATTCCCTGGAAAGCCTGCATCTGGCAGGGATGCTGTGAAGGGACACACCACAAGCCCAATTACCAAGGGGCCCTGCACGCTTCTCGCCTTCTCTTCAGAGTCTGGGAGAATGTTTTTCTCTCTGCTTTCTGTCACCATGTTTGCCTACTTGCCATCCTCAAAAGCATGCTTCTTTTCCTAGCATATTGCCCTCAGTCATTGTAGGCTTATGATTTTTAAAAAACTGAAAATAAGTTTGCTTTCAACAGCTTCAGCTTCACCTTGAGTGAACATTCCTAGAAAGAAGGAAACAGAAGTTCAGAAAACTTTCCTGAGGGGTTGGAATAAGAGGAGAGATGCAGGGGGATGGAGTTGGTTTTACAGAGAGAAGAGAAAGCAAAGATTTCAATTATCACTTTTAGTATGATTAATGAAGTTAATAAAGATGGTTTATTTGAACCTTAGCATAGTGATTATAAACCTGGCTTGGAAGTTTAAATACAGCCTACCATAAGCTATACTTTAATTTTTTCATATATAAAAAGGAGATAATACTGGTAGTTATTTCATAGAGTTATGTTTAAGTTAGTTTTAAGCATAATTTGATAAAACATCTTCTTAAAGTGCTTTTATAGACAGGTCTAAGAGTTTAGAATAAAGCCAGGAATGTAGTAAGCACTTTTTTTTGTTGTTGTTATTTCCTGAACTCATTAGAGAAACAAAATATAATTCAATTAGATTATAAAAATAAATTATATGAAGCTGTTGCTTCTTTAGACATCAGTTTTAAGAATAATTCTATTGATTGTGAACTTTTAGTTCTAAATTATACAGAGTATTTTTAGATGACTTTAGATCAGTTTTTTACTCCTATCATAATACACCTAAATAGGCTTGAATTACCACATCTCAATGCAAACCTCCAACAAAATCTCTATAGTTTTTTCCCTCTCTACTTTTTTCCCTTCTCCTTGAACTGATTTGAACTACATATACATCTCACTGGGAAACTACTTTCCTAGTTGTATTTTCTGCATCTTCATACAGGTTAACTTAACATTTCAATTTAAAAATCATGTAATTAACATCTTGCACTCCTCAGAAGCACACCATTCTGCTCTGCAAATACCTTCGTAGGGGAAATTTGAAATTGACAAATACATTCACTTAAATTTTGCCTTACACTGAAAATTGAAGAAAAAATTTTTAATTGGCTATTTATGCAACCATTATTAATCAGTCAACCAATTTGATGTAAAGATGGATATTACAGTCATTTCAAAAGTGATTTTTGATTTCGGTAACTGGGTCCTACAGCATTATGTCTTCATATTTGTGAGTTACTGCACCCTGGCTAGTATTTTCATTGCTGCCTTACGTTTATTTGCTGCAAATCCCTCTCAAAACTGTGTGCGTTGGTTTTAATGGTAATGAGGAGGCTAGCTCAAGACTGAAATTCAAATCCTAAAAACTTCAGGGTTTTAGAAAGATAGGATAAGGTTAACTCATTTTCAGCATGTGCAGCCTTCCTTATGCATGGGATGAAACATAATAGACAGATTGCAGCATAATGATAAATAATAAATTTAAAACGTACAGCCTGGACAGTATTTAAAATGAATATTTCTCAAATTCGACATTATTCTTTTTCATTCATCTTTCATCCATTCTTTCCCAGTCTTCTGACCCAACTATTGAAGGATGATGATTTCATAGGATCTAGGATATTGAAGTTTGCTTGCTCTACTCTCTCAAATTACTGTCTCGGTTATCACTGGTTTGTTTTTGTTGTCTTCCACAAGGCTTTGACTCAGTAGTGGTAGCAAATGACAGAGATCTTCAAGTGTCTTAATAAATAATGCCCATCAGTGTAATAATACTCCACCTGAGAGAATGGCTCCCTAGCTCTCTTCCTGAGTTTCATCATTAATCATTGCGCCCACAGTCTTAATTGTGATAACAATCTAATTGCAGCTGTTACAAGGATGCCAGTGAAGTAATCTGTGCTTCTCAATGGCAGCTTTGTTTTGTAGGGCCATCTCTGACAAGATGCAATTGGCAGATTTTTTCTAACAAATGTTCATCCCAGATGCTGCTAGTATTTAAATAGGATGTGCCAAGATTTAGATGGAAATATAAAATCACTTGATATTTTAAAACCTAGGAATCTAAAATAATCTCATAGAAAGAACAGTAATTCAGTATATGGGAAAGTGCCCTGTGCTTGGTAAAATAAGGTAGATTTTCCAATGTTTATATGGCAAAGAGAACAGGTACTATCTATATAATACTGATTTAGCGTTGTGGTGGAGCCATTGTGAACATCCGTGCCAACACCCCCTATGCAATGTATATATCTTCATTATCCCCCATTCAGGGTTTTTATTGGAATCTAATTAACCATTTTTGAATGTGAAATTTCATGGAACACTTGCCGTTCTGAGAAGTCCTGAAGGTTTAAAACAGCAAGGAAAACCAGCCTGCTTTGTCAGATACCTTCTAAGTAAACCAGTTCGAGACTTTAAGAAAGTGTCCCATCTAAATGTTTTCTGTACGTTTAAATTCCAAACTAAGGCAGTGCAGAAGTTCAGTTTCTCCTTATGCCTTATTGATATTGCTTGGTATCCCTCCAAATAAAATTCCTGTATGGTTGATCACAATCCCTCCCATTTCTGTGTGGTTGCTGCTACACTGACAGGGAAATAAATAAAACTGAGGGAATGAAATGAGTGCTTTGGTTTCATTACATTGTTAAGTCAGTTCTGTGCATTGAACTATTTAACATCTTAGTAAATTTCTCTTAATTATTTAACATGTGATCAATTCATATGTTAAAAAGTCAGAAATAGCACAGCCACCAGATGGCCAGTAACCAGATTAAAACAAAACAAATTGCACTATTATTTTTAAAAAGAATTAAGCAGGTTTCCATTTTTTAAAAAATTAGCTTTTATTTATAGGCAGCAATCAGGAGAAACAAAGTGTACCAGCACACAGTTCAACTGGCTTTTATTCTTCACTTGAGACTAGTTCTAATTGATCACTATGCTATTGTATGATTTGATTGTGCTGACAGTTACATGCCACTGTTCCCATAATAACAATTTTTCTTCTTTGTTCAAATGAATTTCCTAATTACACGTGTGATGGGATGTTTTAATTCTTTTCCCTTTTCAAATCCACCTTCCTGTTGCAATGCATGATGGGCAGGCTCAATATTGTGCATGACACCCGCTACAAGTGTTGGTAGGTGCCAGCTTTGTTTCTTGATTATCTTAAACCTATGGTGCACCTCACAGCCCCTCAAAATCCACTGCTAAGTTTAACTTTTATCTATTGGGCAAGTCCATTTCCTTTTTACTAACACCTGTCAATTAAATGCCATTTTCTATTTAATTGACATGGACTCACATAAATGTTTTCTTTACACACAAGTTTCCTTTAGTCACCTTTGGTGGATTTTGATTGGACTATGAGCTCTGGTGTGTAAAAAAAAAAAAAAAACTATCTCATAAAAGTAATATATTGTGTATTTTTATAATAGTAAATAAGAAAGCATACTTTTATTCAAAAACAGATAATTGTATATATGAAGTAAATATCTGTATTTTGACTTAGATTTTGAATGTCTAACTGTGAACTCTATATAAAATTCTTGGTTTTGACTTAGCAAATTAAGCCTGTTTGTGTCAATTTTCTTGATTTGATGGTAACAAGCTTTTTTTCCCCTTTTTTTTCTCTTTCATCCCCCTTCCCCCTCTCTCCTTGGAATGTTGTCCTGCTTTGCGCTGTGATTGCATGTCACTCGCTGGTGATGATGTCCCGTCACATGGCTTACTGCTGTGATAAATACCATGCCCAATTATCTCCTCCATGTTGCCATGGTTTCCATATTGCTACACTCTTCTGTATGTTTGCTTATGTGATTTTCCCTCCGAAAGTTCCCATGGTGCACGGTGCTACGCCAGCCACTGTGTCCGCAGCAACAACATCCGCCACAAGTGTTCCCTTCGCTGCAACCGCCACAGCCAACCAGGTTTGCTCCTTTACAGCCTTTGTTTCTTACGAACCGACTCTGACGGGCTCAGTCCCGCAGGCAGCCCGGAGCGCGGGCCTCCCGCTGGGGCCAGCGGGGAGCCGCGTGTCCGCCGGGCAGCCCGGAGCGCGGGCCTCCCGCTGAGGCCAGCGGGGAGCCGCGGGTCCGCCGGGGCTGCAGGGGGCGCCGTAATAGCATGGGGTTCCAAAGATACCTCTTGTTGGCCTACACATTCTTTCTATGATGAGCAGCAGAATGCTTTTATGCCATTTATAAATGCTCCAAAGTTGTCGCAGCTCCATTTCTAAAGCTACTAAAATGATATTTACACAAGCAATTCTCAGTTGGTCTCAAATCAAAATCATGCAGGTATTTTGACCAGTCGAAATTATATCAGGTAGTGTATACAGATGTTGAACTACAGTGCTATACACCTGAAACTTATATAATAAAAAATAATTTTAAAAATACAGGTGATTTTAAGGGCTTTGTTATAAGCATTGGAGATATATATATATAGTTTCTTGCCTAAATTCTTAATAAAAAACAAAGTATTTAAATGTGCTATATATGCCACAACCAACCACTCTTGTAAATAGAGTTTGTTATAAATTCATTAGTTTTATTTGATAAGTGAATTCCATACTCAAAATACGTTAAAATAAGTAAGTTTTCAAGTTTTGATTCTCAGCGGTTTAAGTGAAAAAATAAAATTCCTAAGTGCTCTTATATCTGTAACTACTCAGCATAAATGTTAGAGGGTTATGAAGGGAAAAAAAGGCCCCAGGTATGGCAATTAGAGTCATTCTGTGTTCCACACAAGTTTATGGAGTGACAAATACACAGGGTTATCTTTTTTTAAGTAAAAGGAATATGTCTCAGAAATTTAAATTTCATAATATAATTATTCAAAAGAAAATAATTATTAAAATATTTAAAATTTAAAATCTGCATGGATTCAGCCAGCATTTTTAGCTCCTATTTAAAATTATAGTCTAGAAAATACTGGTTGAATCAAAATCAAATTTATGTAAAGTAGTTTTTGGCTTGAAAGTATAGATAGGTTTGTTATGAAAGCAAGTTCAATAGGGTTAACAGCATATGAAATATCTAGAGTCCAATCAAATTTCAGATAATTCACAGACCAAGTTAGATGTAACCAAATGAATCTTAAAAAAAAAAAAACAGTATCAGATGGGAATCAACGTGTTGCCCGTTTGGGAAAAGAAGACCCATTAAATGCCATTTGAATTTGCAGTTATCACTATAAGGAGGAGCCATCCTTGTTTCTACAGAATGCCATATACCATTGAAGAAGAACTACAAACTATAAGTATAGTCATTAAAAACTTTCAAAAGCAGCATGCCAAAATGGATGTATTTTAAAGTTTCAGACAGGCTTTAAACATTTCTTGGCAAAGGATCATTAGTTTTTCTGAAGTTTGTCAAAATAGTCTTGGATTTTTGCTAACACATCAGACTCATTTACAAGAATGCTAGATTGTGCGTATGTGGCATGTTAGTAATCTATGGCAGAAATTTCTTAATGGACTCAGTGCAGTCCATTTATGGTGCAGATCAGTGATGCTGGATTCTCTTGTGTGTACCATGTATGACTACAGAATTGCTGGTGTAAGCAGAACTACAGCAGAAGCAAATTTCAACATGCCCTTGGCCACCTTGGTTGTAGGGGACACTTTACTTTTTGCATTGTGCTGTGACCATTTCATGCATAATCTTGGGTCTTCATACTGTTTGACAACCAGAAGAAAGAAAAGGGAATGGATATATATATACACACATATATTATATCTACATATACATACATATGTATATGCCTACAGTACATTAGCGATGCTGGAAATAGCTGATGCCACAAAATGCAGCCTGCATGCATGCAGAAGTTTATAGCTGGCCCTTCATCTGCATCGATTGGTGTTGAAGGTCCTTGGTATGTTTCGACAGCCCCATCCTTGATGCTTCTACACTGTTGGGTGCAACATCCTGTCCTGCGGCAGCAGGAAAAATGGTATGAGAAGCTTCATTATGCTTGGAGCACATTTTCGTGCCATTTGCCAGTGCTGTAAAATTGTGTAAAGATGTCAGCTGAGAAATGGAAATAAAATAGAGACATATTAATTTACACTCCAGACTGTGGACTGTAATATGTTGAGTTAGTCTAGGACATCTAGATGGAAACAGCAACAAAATGCCTTCATGTATGTGATTTCACTCTTCTCCCATCAACCTTGCTGAAATGAGATTAGTGCCAGTTTAGAGATAAACCTAAGTATAGAGTAATGAAGTGCTTTGCTCATGTTTACACACCCAGAAATGGGTCCCTAGGGGTTGAACCTGCGATGTGTTGCCTCTCCCAGTTTAGCAGTCATCATTCTGGGCAGAGGAGAATCGGGCTACAAATTGGAAGATGTTGGCTGTTGGGATGATTGAAACAAGTCCCCTCTATATTGGTTCCTTATTGTGTTTTCTTCAAGTTTTGTAATTTTCTTACCCATTTAAAATGCAATAAAACGTGCAATCAGGATTCAGGAATATGTTCTGAAGTAGACTTCCATGCTTTTATCCGGTTCTTTTGAAATACTCCTTTATAATTATTACCTGGTATTTTTAACTTGGAAAAAAAATGTTAGATACCATAAGTTGAATGAAAATACAGAAATTGGTTGCACAAAAATAGGCAAGACATTGCCTACTTTGCTTTCTAGAATACTGAATAACTGAAACCACAGGTGTGTGTGTGTAGGCCAACAAAAAGGGCTTCTTTCAATTACTGCTCTGCATGAATTTTTGATAGTTTTACTTCTCTTACTTCCTAAAAACTGATAACATTTATAGAATAGTATTTAACACAAAGATTTTAAACAATGAGTTGCTACTTTGGCATTAAGTTTACATTAACTTACTGTTATGTTGATCAGATAAGGACTGTCACCTCACAGCTGAATTTCACTTTCTTAAAAAATTTAATATTAAGATGTTTTCATCTCTTGGTTGTTGGCTTGCTTGCATGGATCATTCATTAAATAATTTTTTATTTGCTAGATACCCATAATATCTGCCGAACATCTGACTAGCCACAAGTATGTTACCCAGATGTAGAATTTTCATCACTAAACAGTAAGTTCATTATGTAATATTGAGTGTATATTCATGGTGGTTTTTTCTAAGATAACAATTGTGTAATGCACTTAAGAAAATTTTGCAGAATTTCAAAAAACTGTATTTATATAGAACTCGCAATTTTATCTTAGATGGGTTATGAGGAATTTTAATGTATGAATCTATAAGAAATATGCTCATGTAATTTAAATATGCATAATACTGAGGATATATACATTTTAAAAAATTTTGTCCTAGAAATAAGCACAGTCGTGAAGGAAAAATACAGCTTAAAACTAAATAGAAGGCGTAGATTAGGGATTGGCAAGCTTTTTCTTCAAAGATGAGACAGTAAATACTTTTGGTTGTGTGGGCCATAGGGCTACTCTGCTGATATAGCGTGAAAGCAGCCAGATACGGTGTGTAAATCAAAGGGTGTGCTGTGTCCCATTTAAACTATTGGTAGTGCTAATGGCAAAGAATCCACCTGCCAATGCAGGAGACATAAGAGACACAGGTTAGATCTCTGGGCTGGGAAGATCCCCTGGAGGAGGGCATGGAAAGCCACTCCAGTATTCTTGCCTGGAGAATCCCGTGGACCAAGGAGCGTGATGGGTTATGGATCATAAGGTCACAAAAAGTTGGGCACACACAAAAATAGGTAGGCAGGATTTAGCTTACAGGCAATAGTTTGCTGATCCCTGGTATAGGTCAGCGTTTATTTTATTCAAAAATTGTCTTGCTAAATCCTAAATGAGAACATGTAGCCAGTTTACCCCGTGCTTCACCACATCAGGGTCATTAGAATATAAAGAGCCTGATTTACATACATTCATATATGCACACACATACACACCCACTCACACATCTACCTGGATATTTGCTCAAATAGTTTGAAAGTCTCGTAGTTTCCTTTCAGACACATTGACTTGCAAAGATGACCATGTTTCATCCTTTTAGAGCATGTTTTATTCTTACACATTGATTCAAGTTATCTACCTGCTCAGAATTATATTAGGTATTTCTTTTTATATTTAAGAAGAGCTACGACGCTTAAAACTGAATCTGGTAAATAAGATGGGTGATCATTCTTTCTTTGTTGCTTCCTTTCATTCATTCATCTGTGCATTAACACATTTATAAATGACTTTTTGTGTTAGCTACTGTGTGTTAGTTACCAGGTCGATGAAATAAAGATCGACAGTCAATGAGATGATGATGTAAATTTTAGCACTCTTCATTAAAATAAGAGAGCTTTGAACAAATTCCTCTAGGAACAAAGATGAAGGAGCAGCTCTTCCTAAATGAGAACAAATATGAAGGAGCAGCTCTTCCTAAATGAGTCAGAAATTAAGTGAATTTGGACAGTGAAGGTTGATGTAGAGAGAAAGGAGATATCAGAGCCTTGTAGAAGAAGGGACAGGGTGTTGAATCAGGAGGTGGTGTCAGGGAACCAGTTCAGAGGCCCTTGTAATAATAATCCATAGGAAGAGCTTGTCAGAGGATTAACTCATACAGGAGAAGATGACAGACACAACTTGAAATAAAGGAATGATAAACTCAATCTGAGATGTACTACCAAAGACATGCTGCAATCATGAATTAAATTACTGAAACTGATTTCTGTTTCATAAGCTCTCTCAGTGCAGTTCTGATAACAAGGTTTATTATTCTGTACAATATAATAGTACATTGCTTTGTAGTACATAGGTTTGGAAGTAGAGTTCTTTTGACATGTTAAAAAAAAACATTTCAAGCTGTTATGATCAGTTGGGTATGTATATATGCAAACAAGTACTGTTTCTTAGCAATAATCCAGGTTCAGAAAAAAAAGATGCAAAATGGATTGGGGTTCCATCAGTTAGCAAAACAGTAGATTTGTCAGTATTGAAACTTAAGCTCTTTAAGGTTCTGTTTATTTAACAAATACTTAGACATTTTCATGAGAAGCTGCAATATTTAAACTGGTTTTTGAGTGGAAAATATTTAAGCTGGTTTTTGAGCAAAATGGTGATTTTCTGAATTCTCAAGTTGTATACTAAAGCATAGTTGAATATGTCAAGATTCTATGGGAACAAATTTCATTTAGCAGCTGGAATTATTAAGTCACAAGTACATTGTAATATCAGTTCAACCTGAATTTGTCAGGAGCATAAGGAATGATTTTTCTTTTTCTTGGCCTTTAGGAGAAAAAATCCAAACTATAAATTATCCAAAACAGTCACTTAAAGTATCATCTTTTTTTTTTTTTGCAAACACATACTGTGTTAATCAAGCATCCACATAGAGCAAATTGTGTTTAATAGGACAGTTGCATGGATTTTAATTTTGTGGGCCAAATCATTACTTCTGAAACCTATTAAACTTTAGAAAGAAGTAAAGTGAGTTGTAAATTCTGTCCCACAATGATAGTGCTAAAAAGAGCTCTACTGTATTATGCCCCTTGATTCTGCAAATGTATTTTATATTTTAAGCTGTGTATTGGCTGATGTTTGTTCAGAGACTAGAATTTTGTGAATCTGTGTCATTTTATTCTCAAAGAGACAATAAACACATTTTGGTCCTTTGTACCTGCGATGTGTTTTTTGTTTTTACATGAAGGTGCTGCCACTGCTGTGTTCACTCTTTAAACCAAGAAATACAATTTTCATGTTGAATGTGTCTGGGAAACTGCTGTTGTCTGTGTTAACGGGAGGGTATCTCTCTTTTCCTTGCAGATCGTACTAAAGAGGAAAGGACAGTGTGCCTGGTTATAGAGTAAAGGACGAGGTCATTAGCCATATTGTATATACCGTCAAGCAACCTCATACAAAAACCCCTCAGCCACAAGACATCCGCACACTGCATGTTAATCAGAAGAAAAGACAACATGGAAACCCACCGCACACTGTTGCCTACACACTTTGTACATTTAATTGATATTTGTGCTGAGGTGATACTTCTGTCTAAAAGAACAACATTGTCTTTCTTTTCTAGCACAGAGTGATGCATTCAAATATGCAGACCTAATTAGTTTCCTATATATTCATGCCATCTTGAAAAGACAGACTATGGTGTAACCATGATTCTATTATGTATTGGTACGTCTGTAGACCAAGATATAATTTTTTAAAAATAAGTTTATTTCTTTCAAGGTTTACAAATAACAAAGGTGCACCTTGTATTTAAAATTGCCATTATAGATGAGAGCGTGCATGCACAGTCATTTTTGTTTGAGTAATATTTTTAATGTAATAGATTTTAAGATGTGGTGAGGGAGGGATCTGACAGAGATGAATGTGCCAAGCAAAACCACAACTGTGTATCTTTTAAAGCACATCATGGCTTTAAGTACCATGTTGTTAAGGATTCTCATGAAGTGCCATAGACTGTACATCAAAGTAGAGTATTATTTCTTCAGTGTTATTGTTTTCAGAGCCACATTTTGTTGCTTATTTGCTAGTACTAATCAGTCAAAGGGCACCATTCTTTTTTTTTTTTTTTTTTGGAAACCAAAGCTGTCTCAGAAATGGCCGATTTAACTTTACAGTAACAAAATAGACAGCACAACACAGACTCTCTCAATACAGATAAACTCACACATACTGGAGATTATATATAATAGATATATATAAAAATTATTTTAATGCATTGTAGTGTAATATTTATGCCTACTATACTGTATAACATGTTATTCAAAAGGGATATGCCATTTCTGAGACACGATAACAAAAAAAAGTTTGAGGAAATTATTTTGCTTCTATTTATAGCTCTGTCAAAAGTCAAAAGACTCTAAATGCTTTGCAAAAATGGTTTCACATTTGCTTAAATGCTTCGTCACAGTCACATTTAAAATAGTGACTCTAAACAGAGAAGACAGCAGCACTGTCATCAGATGCATGATAAACCAAAACATGAAAATGGGAAATGTTTAAGTAATCTAGTCATTGGGTGGGTTAAGTACATGGGTGAATTTTATATGTGATTTGTTTTGTTTCGTTTTGTTCAGATTTACTGCTTATAGCCTTAGAAAGCCTTTTACAAATTAAAAAAAAATAGATGTGCATTCAGTTTTTAAGAATGGATTCATCCAAAGGAATTCCTTTTTTGTGGTTTGGATGTTGCAGCTAGTAAAGGATATTTTTGCTCTGTTCAGCAGTTCTAAAAATTGCTGAAGTAGGGGCCAGGTCACTGGTAGTTCTAGTATGGAATGGGAGAAGTGAAAGTTCAGTTCTAGAACTTTCCATACTTCCAAGTTTACTGCAAGTTTTTATGCTTGAGAGAGATGCTTTCTAATATAAGACTGATGTGTTGATTTTACTGATTGTACTGTACATCTATTAAAGCCTTAGATTATTACATTACGGGTTGGAACCCATACCAATGTAATTTCAATCGTGTTAAGAGAGTAATGGTGACTCCACATGTTATTGTAGTTAGTTACATTATAGAATATTACTTATTTTTCTTGTTAAAGTGTAGTTTTTCATTTCCTACATTTATTAGATTTCATTTTCTATTAACAATTGAATACCATTTCAGTTTATAGACTCTTGTTTTAGTAGATTTTACCGATGAACTTTTCAAAATACAAAAAAAATTAAAGTAGTTTTTTCCTTCATAACATACTCAGTTTTGAATTACATGTAGTGTCATATGAATATTCGTATTGTTAACTAAATGATTTATATTTTACTGATTTAATATTAAAAGTGTAAGAATGTCAGTCATTGTTAGTTCTTGTCTAGTTTTCATTAAAAGAACAAAGATCTTTTATATGGATATCTTATAAATATATAATCATTGCTAAGTAAGAAGTTAAGTTGTTGCTATCGCAACAATCCTGGCAGACAATTGAGTAATATTTTGATGATTTATTTTGTTTGTAATTAGTTATTATAAGAAGATCTAGATCCTAGATATTAGAATAAAATTTATTTTCTACTGTATCCATTTCAAATGTTAAAGTATTGTTTAATATTTTTGAAATCCCTGAATATCAGGCCTTGTTATAAATAAGC